GGCACAGGTGCAGGGGGTGGGCACAGGTGCAGAGGGGCAGGCACAGGTGCAGGGGGTGGGCACAGGTGCAGGCAGGCTTTCTGAAAGGGGTCTGGGCCTGGGTGCAGCCCTCCACCTGCCATGAGACGGGGCAGATGCACGTTGACATTTGTTAAATTGGATTTCTGTTTAACAAATGAATCCATGACTGAGAAATGCCCGTTTGGGGGGAAAGGCTGAACAGCAGAGAAGGGCAGGGTAGGGGAGCCGGTTCCTTCTCAGCTGCTGGCTGTTTGCTGTGGGGGCCGCACAGCAGTGAAGACACGTGCTTACAGCTGTATCACGGGTGTCGGCATGCGATGACAAACGAGTGCAGTTGGTAGTAATGACGGCCTGCTTTCCCTTGGTTATGAAAGGGTTATAATTCACTTAGTGCACCATCTGCTGGCAACCCTGAGGTTGTGATTGGTTCTTCTCGGTCTCTCTCAGATCCCTCGACGCCGCTGTGTTCTGCATCTTTCCTCTGTTGTGCTGGGATATTCCATGGGACTCACCCCACTGTTCTTCTCTTTAGAGCCTTACTTCCATGCGGTGGAGCCCTACACGAAGAAAGAGCTCTCTGCGGTGACGTTCCCTGATATCATTCGAAACTACAAGGTCATGGCCGCTGAAAATATCCCAGAGAACCCCCTCAAGTACCTGTACCCCAACATCGACAAAGACCATGCCTTTGGGAAATATTACTCCAGGCCCAAGGAAGGTGAGTGCCCATGTTCTCATCTCATCGCCGTCCACAGGTTCAGACGCCCCCGGGCCCTTGCCTCCTCTCGTGCAAGGAGCCGGCAGGGCCCCGACCCCCACGCTGAGCCATCAAACCGCCACTACCTTTAGAATTGCTCAGAGCGGGCTTTGAAAACATGGCATCCACACAGCGCAGCTGACCCTAGTGCATTCGTCGGCCTGAAATACCTACTAAGAAATGAGTAAATGACTCTTCTTTTAGAGGAGTTTAAAGGTCATTTCTCGTCTTGCGTATGTTACGTTATTGCTTTTTCCACGTGGAAAGGGTAAAAGGTAGGATCACTATGGCCAGCCGATTTATGCCAGCCTGCTCCTGCTACAATCGGGTAAACGGAGGCCCAGGAGAAGTGCCGGGGTTCATGGGGTGACCCAGCCAGTATGAGGCGTGTGTGAACGGTGACTGTTGGGAAGAGCAGACCTAGCGCTGCCACGGGCCTCCTGCTCCCCTGCCCTCACTGCGTGGCACTGAGAAGGCTCAGGTCAGGCTCCTCTGGTTGGAACATGCCAGCAAAGCTGCTTGCTTTTCAGACCTGAAACCTCAGTGTCAGCAGTTACTCGCGGGGGAAGTTGCCCTCCCTTGCCTGGCCAGCTGAGTGGTTACGGCAGCCAGGCCGGGCCCCAGAGCCAGGCACAACTCCTGCAGGGTTTCGAGCCTCGGAAAGAGAAACCGCTCAGTCTGACCCCTGTACCAAACCCTCCCCTCATCTCCCGTTGTTCACACCCCCACCAGAGCTTCAGGTGACTCAGCCAGGGAGCTCAGACCCCTTGAAGTTACGGGACTCCAGTATCTGACTATGGAGAAAATATAGTCACTTTTTGTTGTTGTTCATCCTCGCCGGGTGATATCTTTTCCCTTGAATTTTATTTTTTTATACGCCCCCCACTGGGGATCAAGCCTGCAACCCAGGTATGTGCCCTTGGCCGGAATCGAACCTGGGACCCTTCAATCCGCAGGCTGACGCTCTATCCACTGAGCCAAGCCGGCCAGGGCTTCCCTTGAATTTTTTAAAGAGAGTGGAAGGCAAGGAGGAGACAGAGAGAGAGAAACATCGATGTGAGAGAGACACATTGATTGGTTGCCTCCTGCACAGGCTCTGACCGGGGCCAGGGATCGAGCCTGCAACCGAGGTACGTGCCCTTGACCAGAGTCGAACCCGGGGCCCTTCAATCCTGGGTTAGTGCTCTAACCACGGAGCCACCGGCCAGGGCCCAAAGTCCCATTTGGTGAAAGAGGCGTGCCTGCGTGTGGTCCTGCTAATGGGGTGTCCCTGTGCTCCTTCCAGCAGCAGAGCCCATGGAAGTCGATGGCCCCAAAGGGACGGGATACATCAAGACAGAGCTGATCTCCGTGTCTGAAGTGTAAGTGAGCCAGAGCCGTGCGCCGCCCGCTCGGCTGGGCGCGGAAGATGCTTGCACTTTGCTTTCCCTTGTCCTTGTCGCCGCCGCCGCACTCAACCCGATGGGAAGACCCCACTTAGAGGTCCCGGTGTCACCGCCTCAGCATTTTACTGCCTTTATATAAAAAAACAAAAACAAACAAAAAAACCCCCCAAACACCCAAAGTTGTATTTAAGGGATATAAATTCTCCCCAAACGGATACTTTGAAAAAGTGTGAATAAAATGAGCGGAAATCGATCAGAGTGGGAAAGTAGTTCTTTTCGATCTGGAAAAGGCCACCGTGATGGTTGAGATACATTTCTTCCACCTGCTTTTATTTTGTCGTTTCATTTCATAAAAGGTAGACAAAAAAATTTGGAGAAGGCATGGTCAGTAGTTTGGCCTGAGCGCTGTGGGGCGCATGGAGTAGCCTTCACGTAAAATCTCGGATCAGCCTCCTCTGCACTCACACCGTAAGGTAGGGAAGAGGGACTCCCACCGCCTCCCATGCGCCCTGAGCGGGCGCCCCTGCCCCCATGCCCCAGGCCACACCGCTCAGGGGCTGCACTTTCTAAAATGTATTTTGCAGGTGTGCGCACTCACCTGCAGCGAAAACAGAACCCGCTCCTGCAGTCGCAGGCCGACGACGACATGTGCGGGCCGGGCCCTGCTTCCTCGCCCAGAGCTAACCCTGCTTCCCTCTCTCCCCTTCCAGTCACCCTTCCCGACTGCAGACCACAGACAACCTGCTCCCCATGTCTCCCGAGGAGTTTGACGAGGTGTCTCGGATCGTGGGCCCCGTGGAATTCGACAGCATGGTGAGTGCCCCGCGGGTGGGAGCTCCCTGGGCAGGGAGGCCCCCACACCCCGACAGGCCTGGGCCCGGCTGCAGGGCCTCAGAAGGAGCCTGGCAGAGCCTTCCGATCGGCTGCGCCTAAACAAGCGACGTCACCCCCAGGATTTCTCCCCTGGCGGCAGCACCTTCCAAAAACTAATGACAGCTCAGAGGTGGGGAGCCCCTCGCCCTGTGAGGCGGTCCATTGGCAGCTTCACAGCCTTCAGGGACTAGGACCCTTAGACCGGGTTTGCCTCCGGCCTGCTGCTTCGGGGGGGAGCTGTTACTTGTCGGGGGGCTAGAGCTTGGTAACTACAGTGCTGATGGGAGACGTGGCGGCAGCAGGGAGCCTCCCACCTGCTCCCGGGTGGGACTGGTGGGAGCTGCTGGCACCTGGGCCGGAGGGAAGCAGTTCGAGAGGGTCGGGTCCGAGGCCTCTTCCTGTGGGAGGAGGGCGTTTCCACTCCGGTCGGTCAGACCTGTTGTCTCCCGTCAGCCTGAAATCCTCCCTCTCTCGATGTTTTTGGTTGGCTGGGTTTTTGCTGACGCTGTTTAATTTTAAGCTTTTCCACATGAAGCCATTCCAGTTCATTGTGAAAGAAGTGTTTCACAGCCTTCCAGACATCCTCTGTCCTTACCGGCCTTTCTGCATCTCTGCAGACCTGCACCGACCAACCGGCGGGCAATCGTGGGCGGGAGGCCGGGGGGAGGACGCATGGGCTCTGCTCTGCACACCCTCAGGTCCCAGGTCCATGTGGGCAGGGAATGCGTTTATAAAACAGCAGGGAAGTCTCTGGTATGCCACTTTCTCTTTTGTCCTCACCTGAGGCAGCACAGGCTACAATCCTCACCCCGGCCTTCCTTATGCTTCCCGATGCTGACAGATGCCTCTCAGTCACCTGGGAAAGTGCTCGGGTAGTGAAACAGCACAGCAGTTCTGTCCCTGTGGACGGGTGCACGGGGCACCTCATGTGTAAGGGCAGGTCCTCCGTTAGTGTTCCCCTGAGCCTGTGGAAGTGCTTTGAGAGCCGAGTGAGAGGGGGGCAAATAGAGAGCCTATTGAGAACGTGTGAGCCGGCCCCGTGGCCTAGTGGCTGAGCGTCGACCTATGAACCAGGAGGTCACGGTTCGATTCTGGTCAGGGCACAGGCCCAGGTTGTGGGCTCGATCCCCAGTAGGAGGTGTGCAGGAGGCAGCCAATCAGTGAGTCTCTCTCATCGTAGATGGTTTCTCTCTCCCTCCCCCTTCCTCTCTGAGATCAATAAACATGTATTTAGGGGGGAGAGAAAGAGCATGTGAGATAGGCCAGTGGAGCCAAAACACAGCTGCCTTTCTGACGCCTCCATTGTCCCTGAGCACGGCCTGGGTAATGACTCGGTCCTCACACCACCTTCCGAGCTGGCAGTACTGTTACTCCCATTCTGCGGGGGTGGAAAAGGCACCCCCATTAGGTCACTTGACTAGGAGCAGTGCGTGAAGGGCGGATATTTGAATCCCGGGCTGTGTGGAGAGCCTGCCCTCGTCCACCATCGCAGACGCCTCCCACAGACAGCAGCCTCTGCTCCATTCAGAGCCCGCCCGCGCCTGGGGAAGTGGTCTGGCAGGCGGGCGGGGCAGGGCTTCTCATCTGCTGTGGACGGGCCGTGTGCCTGGGGTGAGAGGCCTGTGCTGGGGCCTGACATTGGAGTTCTAAGTCTGTCAAATCCGTTACCTCCCGGGGCCCGAGGAAATAAGATGGGTTCATTTCCTCCATCTGTGCGCAGTGCGAGTGCATGCTCCGCGCTCTCAGTGATCCTGGGAGAGCAATGGAAACCGTCTAAAGCAGCGGTTCGCAACCTGTGGGTCACGACCCCTTTGGGGGTCGAACGACCCTTTCACAGGGGTCGCCTAAGACCATCGGAAAACACTACATAATTACATATTGTTTTTGTGATTAATCACTATGCTTTAATTATGTTCAATTTGTAACAATGAAATTGGGGGTCACCACAACATGAGGAACTGTGTTAAAGGGTCACGGCATTAGGAAGGTTGAGAATCACTGCTCTAAATAAATGCTGGCAATGGCTGGTGGTCTCAGGATGTCCCCTGTAGCCACCCCATCCCATTCCGGATGATTTCTTTCATTTCAGGGCCACAGGTCCATGTAGAATAAATAACCCTGTTTCACACACACACACACCCGATTACAGGCGGAGAGGACTTAAGGAGCTACAGGCCCGCGTGCGGGGCAGCACTGCCTAGACACAAGCACTGGGTTCGTCCCAGACTGAGTAGACCCCCTTGTCTGTCAGATGGTCTGTCCTCACCTGGGCCACCCTGCCCATCAGCATCCACTCCTGGAATAGGGCACCTGCTCTGACCCGGAGTAACCCCCACAGAGCAGCTAGGCCCAGGTCTGGAGGCAGCAGCTCTGGGCACGGGTGGCCCGGGGTGGGTGGGTGTGGGCGATGCCTGTGCCCCTCGGGAGCAGGAGCCCGAAGGCCCCGGGAGGTTGTCCGGGAGACGGCATGCGTGATCCCGCAAAGGACCCAAGTGCGTGTTTAGCCGGGATTTCCTGTCCAATAAACTTTCTCCTCGACACCAGGAAACCCCATCGCCTCTCCCAGGCCTTTGGTCAGAGCTGACTTGACGATCAGGGACATTTAGTCATTGTTGCTGCTGTCTGTCTGCCACACCGGTGGTCTGTGTCCAATTTAGCCCTGGAGCACCCCATCCGCCTTCGCTTCCTGGGCGGGGAGGACCTGAGACGCAGCGAGGCCAGCGAACACGCCCGTCAGCTGCTGAGGAACAGGGGCGGGTTTGAGTCCAGGCTTCCTCCCTCCCACTCCTCCGAAGTTTACCCCCTACCCACACACTGGCAGCATCAGCCGCACTGAAACGGGCAAACCTTCATTGTGCTTTCCATCCAAAATCCTTTTCCTGGCGCTTTCCCTCCAGGGAGCTCACCCTGCCTTCCTTCCTCCTCCCCCTTAGCTCCCCGCTCCCCAAGCTCCGAGGGCCTTCCCTGAGCGCCTTTCTTCTAGGAATCGCTGCTTCCCCCTCCGTGGTTTGCCCAGTGCGTGCTCTTCCAAATTCACTTCTCTGCGACCTCGCCAGGTGCCACCCCTAGTGAGCACTAGGATCGAAAAGAACGGCCTTACTTCACGGGGCACTTCGGGCTGCGCACCCCTCGTGCAGGCTGGTCAGTGTGCAGGATGCTCGGTGGTGCCCCGGCCCCGCTCACTAGGTGCCAGTAGGGAGAGCCCAGCCCGGTAGTGGGCGGTGTCCTCTGGGTGAGCACGGCCCGCCTGCCAGGTGCCGCCTTCAGGCCGCTGAGCAGGAGGCACTGCTGGAGGCAGGGGTTCCTACGGGTCCTGCTGCTCTCCCCCCACCTGAGACAGTCGTGTCTTATTCCTGCTGAGCGGCCTGTAGGCACATCCACCGTTTCCCCCACACCCTCCCTGGTTTGCAGAAGCAGATTTGCTGGTTGCATAACAGCCGAAAGCTTTGTGCAGCCGGATGGGTGGCCAGGCCTAAGCCACCCAGCTGCAGAGCACTAATCCGTCAGCTTAGGGGATGGGAAGGTCTCTGAGAGTCCGGGAGGGAGCCATGCTGACAGCCTCTAGGCCACGGTTGTGTGCTGTTGGAATCGTCTTCCTGCTTCTTTGTTAACAATGTGAAAGCTGTGAGCCTGCCCTGCACCAGGCCGTGCACTAAACCGACCTACGTTTCCTCTCTCCACAGATGAACGCAGTATAGAGCACGAGCTTTCTCGTCTCCTCTGCCGACACCTGTCCCTCCCGCCTGTGCTCCCTCCTGCTGTTCTGTCCTTCGCATCCTGCTTCTCGGGAAAGGGAAGAAAGGCCCAGTGTGCTGCAGCCTGTGATAGCAAGTGGATTTCCCCTAATTCAGAGACACCTGTTCCCCTGCAGGGCTGCATGCATCTCATTAAAGGTAAAAGGGAGAGGCCCTCTCCACGGAGTGGAGCGAGCGGGGCTACACATGAAAGCATCAGGACTCCCAGGGTGAGAGTGGGAAGGGGAGGCATCGGCAGCACCCAGCAATGCCACTCGCCAAGCCAGGGCCAGCCCGCGGGGGTCGGGACCGACCCTGCTGGCTTAGGGGCTTCTGGCCGATCCTCTTCTGGAGAATTCGTGTTTGTTTTCTCTGCCTTAAATATGGCTGGAAGTTTTCCCCTGGTTTCCCTAGGAAACAGTTCAAAGCTAAGTTTATCTAGAATCGCATCCCCTCCTAACAGAGGTAGCCATCCTGAACCTGGGCAGGGGGAACAGCTGTGTCCTGTATTTTATTATAACGCCCACACTAGCCACTCGCAGCCAAAGACAGATTCTCTCCCGGGAGGATTCGCTTTGCTGTCACGGTGATGATTCTGGCTAACACCCGTGGAAGGCAGCACAGCCCCACGTTCGGGAGTCGTGTTTTCTGTTTAAGCGTGAGTGTCCACAGCTGAAGACGCTGCCTCCATCACGGCCGCTGGTCAGTTCGATCGCCTTCACGCTCTATCCGGGAACAGCTGTTCCCAGCCGCGCTCAGGCCAGACCCTGATATTCTTTCAAAGGTGGAGAGTAATCAGGTGTAGACGAACTCAGAAACTCAATTCATGTTTCTTAATGGTTAACTTGTCTTTATTGTTATTCGCTGGTATTTAGTCTCCTAGTCATAACATTTTCAAATTGAGAAAGAATGTAACTGGCCAATCGTTAACCAGAGGTAGTCTGAGAACCAAATCCTTGAAAGCTCGTGCTGTGTAACCGCGTGGACAATGGCTTCTTTTCACTGATAAAGTGTTTTTCTGAAAAAGGCATTTGCAAATGGTCCCACCGTCTGTCCGTGCTTCTCCCAGACCCGTTCTGACTGGGTGGCATTTGTGACGTGTGTTGTGTTACGTGCCTTCTTCCTTCCTTAGTTCTGACACAGAGATCAAGTGTGGGGGTCGGGTTTGACAGGGGTCTTCGCAGCCTGCTGTCCTCGTAGCTGCGTCTGTGCTCCCGCCGTCGCCGCCGTCACGGAGTCACTGAGCAATGCTGTGCTTTTCGCGTGGGGATGGGTTTGCTTGACGTCTGCTCTGAATTAAAGCTGACGCCTCCCGATTGCACTGCACGCACGTGCACCTGGTCCTTTGGACTGAGCACCAGCCACGGCTCCTCTCCCTTCACACCTGAGGCGGCGGCAGCCTGGCTGGGTGTGCGTGGACTTTGTAAACCGAAAGGATAAAGGAGCAAAGACTTCAGCCAACCCTTGCTTCTCGTTGCTGTGCTCCCCTCTGGCCTGCGTTCTGCCCGTGAGCGTCTGGGTGGCTTCATCGCACGCACTGGCCGAGGGACTGCTCGCTTCTCAGGAAGTGTTCAGTGCCAGCGCCGGTCTCACTGACAGCGTTCGGTGCGAAGATCTGACATGTTACTGGCATTATGTGTAGATTTGGTGTTTTCTCATTTTTTTTAACTTATGATTAAACTTAAAAATATATTTCCTTTTTTGGGGGATGGGGTCAGAGATCTGGGTGAATTTATTTTACTTTTCTTGTTCTTGCTGCTGCTGTTTTTCATAGAACAATGATCAGTCCTTTAAAACGGGTGGGGAACGTCTGCCCCATGGGCTGTATAAGGCCCTTTGGTCTGGCCCTGCCAAGGCATGAGGGGTGAGCTAATTACATATTTGACCAAATAGAGCAGGCTAATTTTTTAAAATATATTTTTATTTAATTCAGAGAGGGAGAGGGAGAGAGAGGAACATCAATGATGAGAGAGAATCATTGATTGGCTATCTCCCGCACACCCCCTACTGGGGATCGAGCCCACATGCCGGGTTGACCGGAATTGAACCTGGGACCCTTCAGTCTGCAGGCTGATGCTCTATCCACGGAGCCACAGCAGCCAGGGCAGCAGGCTACTACTTTTTAAGTTGATACTTTAGTTTGGCCCGAGAATGACCTTATAAATATCCAATGGCCCCTGGCAGGAAAAGCCCCGCCACTGCTTTAAAATGAGATTAACATAGTCTTGCTCAGTGTTGTGCTTCCTCACCCGCTCGCCATCAGATTCGAGGTGGTCCGTGGCAGCGGTCAGAGAGGACACGTGAGAAAGGCTGTGATGGGCGCCCTAAAGAGCAAATGAGTCCCGTGGCCTTGCGACCACAGCTGCCCCCTGTGCACAAATAACGAGGCACTCGTTCTAATGAACGTCGGTGCTGCTGACAGGGCTTCATGCTGAAGTGCCTGTCAAGTGGGACTCTGTCTCATCTCCATCTAACTCGCACCCTCCGTGACCCGGGAGCTGTTGCTGGGACGTCACTGCCCCGTGCAGAAAGGTGCCCTCCCCCCGAGGCGCTCTCAGATAGCGGCACGTGTGCTGGGGAGTAGGGCGAGGACTGGCAGCGACTTCACGCTGTGGGAGGGTGTCGGGCAGCAGCGGTGTTCCGAAGCCAGACGAGCACCATGACCCACAGCCTCCCTCTCCCTTCCGTCCCTGCAGGACTCACACGCAGGGGACCCTGCGGGGAACGGAGCCAGTGCCCGCTGCCAGGGTCCGCGTGTTCTCACACAGTCGGTCACGTGTGAGTCACGGGTAGAGGTGGCTCAGGGCGTGTGTAGGGGTGATCCGTGTGGTGTCTGTGCCGTGTTCCGTCCGCTTGCAGGTGGCACCTGGGGGAAATGCCTCCTCCCTGGGGAAGAGGGCTGCCCGGGATGGCGTTAACCGCGTTAAGTCTGCCTGCTGGCTGTCAGCGAGAGTGGAATAGGAAATCTTGAGGAATGGAGCGCTTCACTCGCCTCTGGCCATCCCAGGGAAAGCGAGAAAAGCCAGGAACTGTTTCCAGAATCCTGGTGCCCGTGTGAGACCTGGTGCTGCCCCCGCAGGACGGGCATTTCCTCGAATGGCTGCTTCTGCTGGGTATTCGGTCGTTTACCGGTTCATCACACACACTGAGCACCTGCCCTGAGCCAGCGCCCTGGTGTGGGAGACGCGGGAAACCAGTCGGAGAAGAGCCCGGCTGTGGGTGGGGGGTGCTCTGAGGCCCTGGGCCATCGCTCGGGCACCATCATCTCACTCATCAAAGCGGGAGACGGACATAGCCCGAAGCTCCGAAACTGCAAATGTTCTATAAAAACGTACACAATTTCAAGGAAATGGCCTTACAGTGGTTTTAGGGAACCGAAGGCGGCATTTGTTCCGAACCTCCTTTGACGAGGTCGTGTACTAGCAGCTCTTCAGTGAAACTGACCTAAGAGTCAGCTCCCAGCTTTGTCTCCCACAAGGAGAAATGGAACGTTTTATGTGACCCATTGAAGAAAGAGCCACAGGCAAGCAGTTTAAACACGTTTATTGGGTTTATATGGGTGCACAAAGCGTATAAAGGTGCTCAGAGGCACCTGCAGAGAGAGCGCTCACACACCTGCCGTCACACTAGCTAAGCTCTGGGTCAATGCCGCTGCGCCCTCTGCGCCCGGTGTGGTGTCTGCTCACAGCCTCGCCCATTTCTTGTCCCAGAGGGAAGCGCCTTGAGCCGCTCTGGCTTCATGACTGCTTGTTGGACTCACTTCCTAGCGGCCCTCACTGACCCCTGGGGGTGGGGGTGGGGGCAGCAGGGGCACAGGGAGGCCGGGGCTCAGGCTCCAGAACAGAATCGAAACACCCAGTCTTTGCCCCTTTTAATAGCTGACTTAATTCTCTGACCTTCCCATCTGAACACACACGTGCCTTCCCAAGTCTCCTCCTGAACCCTGTCCTGTCCATCTAACTGTAACAGCCCCCCCCCCGCCGCCGCCCCCCGCCTTTGGTTTAAGTGCCGCCTCACACATTCCTGAGCTACTTGCGTACCATCTGGTCTGCAACTGCAGATTTACTCACTTCACTGTGAGGTCAGCAGATGAGACCAGGAAGACTGCCCCGGCCCCCCACCCTCTCGCTTTCAGAGATCGAGTCCACACAGGGCTCTCACCTTCACCACCACGGTGCCCGCCCCTGACACCTTGACCGGCGCCTGGCTCTCCTCGGGCATCAGGAATGGATCCGACCCAGCCCCAGGGCTGGCAGAGACCCTGTGGCTGTTTTTTTAAAAATTTCATTGTCATGGGTTTTTTTTTATACATGTGTTTATTACCCTGTGGAAAGCAACACTACCCGATTTCACTTAAAATAAATATTTCCCAACTTCAGAATACTTACAACTGAACAGTTAACGATTAGGTTCACTGTGGGAGGTTCTGGCGGCAAATACATTCATAGCTGAACAATCCCCAGGAAGAGTCTAAACCCAACATGCGGTTACCCAGGCCCGGCCAGACAGACAACAGCACCCCATGGCTGACCACTCGCCCAGCTCCCCAGTTCAGGGGCAGGGGGAGCGTGGGGGGCAGCACATTACACCCGTGATGAGAGCCCAGAGCAGCAAACAGCAGTGAGTAAAAGGATGAGTAAACATCACCAGAGCGCTCTCCTGGGCAGAGGAGCCTAACGCCAAAACACAAAGATCTTTGGAGTATACAGGTGGCATCCATTAGCAGCACAGCCCAAAGCATTTAAACCGAAGGTACTCACAACTGTCAGCCTACAGCCAGCGTGCAGCGCACATAACCTTGTGGGTAGATAAGGGCACATTGAGCTAAACCACAAGATTTTACAAAATAGTCTTAATCGGAGAAAAGGTGAAGACTTTGTTCAGAAATAATAGCGAGCGTCCAGGTCATCAGTAACCTTCCGCACAGGAGCCGTCTGAGTGCTCCCTCAGCACAGCGCTGCTTCTGAAGCGGGGACCCCACTGGTGTCGGGTGGGGGTCTGCCCGGGGCAACGCTGCTCCCGGGCCGCCTGGCTCCACGGGCTCTGGGATAGGAGCACCGGCCGGCTGGAGGCCCGCCGCCTCGTTCCCACAGACACACGGGCCGGCCTCGCGCTGGCAGCTCAGTCCGCCACGGCCACGGCCACACGTCCTCAAGGACGCGCTGTCAGGGAGCGGGCGGGGCCGAGCCACTAACTTAGACGGAAGCAAAAATCGAAACACGTGGAGGCCGCTGGCGGGGTCAACGGGCCGTCAGGCACCATAAACCTCGGAAGCAGCGTGTTGCCCATAGAAAAGGGGAAGGGATTTGCCGTATTAATGTAGCCACCAGCTTTTCTGGGGTTGAGAGTTCTGCTCATTTCACTAAACAGCTTCGAAGAAGTCGAGGCGCATGTGTGCATGTGTGTGCGTGCGTGCGTGTGCATGTGCGTGTGTGTGTGTGTGTGCACTTAATATGAGATATTCTCACTAACATACCCCTTCACCTCTGAGGTATGATAAAGTATATGTGAAATTCCTTCCCCGAAAAATGCTGGGGCTCAACTTAAATGAACTGGCCTTGTTGTTAAACGCTGCAGTGCACCCAAGGGTCCGCTAGAGAATCGAGTGACCTGGTGGACCCCACAGGGAACAGACCTCTCGGTGCAGCTTCTGCAGCGGTTCCCCTCGTGACTCGGAGCGCTTCTCAAGTTACCCTGGAAGCTGAGAAATGTCGTCTTAGAGCCGCAGTAGCACATCCCCTCTGGGCGGGTAAATGTGGCCAATGCGTACTCGGTTTGTCTGGTTCATCTATAGACAGGCAGCTCCTTACAGCTCAGATGCCAGATCTGACGTGTGTGGAAACATGAGGACGGGCCTGCCACAACCCCTTGCCCAGCTAAAGGGCAGCGGCTGGGCAGAGGGGACGTAGAAAAAGGAAAAATTTCCAAAAGTAGTAGAACTCCGTTGACACACTTTTTTGGTCACCAAACATATCTTGAACAGATGCCCTGATAGTCTGATCAGAGTTGGTCTATCCTACTCACAGCTGT